CCACTGGTGCCCTGTCTGCAGCGAGCAGGCATTTAGTTATATCTCCCCAGGGAAAGAGTTTACACAAGTACTTTCAAACTTTAATATACTTCTATCTGTAGTTCTTAATTTATCAATTTTAGCCAGTACGTCGTAACTAAGTAAGATATTCCTAGGGAAATCATATGTAAAAGTAGTTATTCTCTATATTCTTTGGATCATAAAATGCCATATTTATGAATAACTGCCTCACTAGAAACAGGACATTTTAATGGAACCAGAGAGAGCTGTGAAGGTAGAACGATAGGTATTGATATAAATGACAAGAAGGTTTCTACAGCACAGGCTGCATAGATTACAGAGACAGAGTCTTTTCAACTGTGTTGCTTTACTTGTTACTCAGAGTAACTTTGTAACGTATATTAAACAACCATTCTTGCAATTTATAGGGAAGTAAACAAGCATATACTAAGTGTGAAATATAGATTTAAGTGTGTGTGTGTGTGTGTGTGTGTGTAATGAAGGTAGAATGGAAATCATGCAAGGGAAGGGGGAGGAGAGAAAAACAGAATTTTTGCAGCAGAAAACACACAAGAGGATTGGACAGTTTATGGTGAACCCAAATCTCTGTTGGTAAGCTAAGTTTCATTACGTCAGGTTGCTGTCCAATATTTCCTTCTCATCTTCCGTGGCAGTTTTTCTTGAACAATAACCCCCTTTCCCAGATCTCAACTGATGTGATTCCAGGTGAAGCCACTTGTCCTAGTTTGTTTCTCCATCGCAGTGACAAAACACTCTGACCAGTACCAACTTGGGGAGGAAAGGGTTTATTTAGCTTACATATCCCGGGTCACAGTTCATCAGGGAGCCCAAGGTAGGAACTCAGGGCAGAAACCTGGAGGCAGGAGCTGGAGCACAGGCCATGGAGGAACGCTGTTTACTGGCTTGCTCTCCTGACCCCTGCTCAGCCTACTTTCTTAAGCAACACAGGCCTACCTGCCCAGGGGTGGCACCGCCTGCAGTGGGCTGGGCCCTCCTACATCACTCAGTAATCAAGAAGGCCCCACAGACATGACCACAGGCCAGTCCAAGAAGGAAATTCCCCAATTGAGGCTCCCTCAACCCAGGTGTGTCAAGTTGACACGACAGCTATCCAGCACACCACTGCTGGCCCCAGTCTCCTGGCATACAGTTTAGATGGGCGCCCGTGATGTAGTATGTTCCTTGGCCCAGTGAGTCCTGGGGCACTGCATAGACTCTACAAGGTGTAGTGAGGTTTAGGCTGGGGTGGTGGGGCAAAGACTTTTGTCCCATTCTGAAGAAAGAGATTGTCCTGGTAGATGGTGGCAGCCATCTCCTGACCAAAAGAGGGAACTCAGGAAGAAGGAGTTGAGGGATGAGGGCTGCCACTCATTTACACCAGTTCCACAGCCTGCTTGCTTCCCCCAGTTTGGGCTGGTTCCTTGGAAACTGTACTGATTGCACAGTTAATTACTGGGGATCCTGACACCAGATCTGACTTCTAATTGAGGCTTCTTTCTGCTCTGCCATGCCGCCTCTGAAATTAATGTCTTTGTTCAGGATTCAAGCACACATCCCCTACAGGTCTCTCGTTGTGTCTTTTGCCTCCACTCACAGTCTATTAAACAACTTTTAGAAAGGCAAATCCATCATGTGGAATTCATTCATTCTGAGCCAGCATACACGTACTTTGAAAAGACAGTTCTATGTACTGGAACAGTATGGGTCAGAGATGAGCTGATTTCAGAATTTTCATTAAATGGTTACTTTTACTTTATGATGGCCAATGCTGGATCATTTTAAACCATACGAACAAGATACAGGATTCATCACCTGGTGCTATGCATTCGAGTTATGAAAATCATATTCAAGTGTAAGTTAATTGTCTGAAATTTGGAGGCTATTTAACCCAAGAGACAGTACTAATTATAATATTTTGTTTCTTAGACTAGCAAAGAATAGAGCTTTAATCTAAAATGTGGCTGAATAGCAGAGAGCACAGTATCATCACAACACCAACAATTAAAAATGTACAAATACTAAAAATGAACAGATGATTCCTAAGAAAAAATTTATGGTCAAAGATGGGAAGGTAGACAGAGGTGTGTGGTTTTTCCAAAAGAGCTTTCCAGACACTGTCAAGGACCACAGTGACCAATGGTCAGGGCTTACTGTGGTAGCCTCCACTTATCCACAGTTCTGTTTTCTGCAGATATATTAATTCAGAGTAATTGACAATAAAAATATTAAATGGAAAATTTCAGAAATAAACAATTGATAACTTTTAGAAAACCTTTGTCCTGGTGTGCTGTTATAATTGTTATATTTAATTAATAGGTACTTCTGTTAATCATTTACTTCATCTAATTATAAGTTAAATTTTATCATAGTTATGTATGTATGAAAGCATGAAATCTATAGGACTCAGTATTATACTTTTAAAAATCTATGGCGATCTCAAAATGTATTATCCCATGTGGATAAAGGGGGATAATAATATATACTCAGTTTCCATCAAATGGACTACTTTTCCATGATGCAAGCACTATTCTTTATTTTTAATATGGTACTAAGGGTGGAACCCAGGGCCTCATTACATGCTAGCCAAGTGCTCTACTACGGAGCTATACCATACGGAGCTATACCATCTGTATACCATATACAGATGCAAGCCCAATTGCCTGTTGGAAAGGAGAAGTGTAGAGTGTAGGCTCAGCCTGTGGGCTGGCACATCCTGAAGGGAGGGGCTGCTGTGAGAATTTGAAGATATGTCTAGGCAGAGCTAGAAGCTGGGAGGACAAGTGCAGGAAAAGGGAATTTTGTGGGAAGGCTCGGAGCTACCAGCCAGAAGCGGGATGGGCAATATACATGTGTGTGTATATATATATATATGAGGAGATCGTTATGTAGGCCTAAACTGAGTTTAAGAAGCAAGTACAATAAAAAGCACATGGGAACCTCGCAGGGGAGAAGTGGCAACAGGTCGGCACTGGTGGAGAGGCCCCACCTGGGTGATCTTACACACACTGGCAGGGTCAAAAGTAGTGAGGGAGAGAGGCCCGCGGATTCTAATGTCCAGACTTTGGGCTGTCAAGAAGTCTTACTTAGAAATACTTTCATTTCAATAGGGAGCCATTGGGCGTCGCTGTACACAAAACCAGCATGTCAAAGCCTAGGAGTGCAGGGCTTACGGTAAATGGCTACTGAGGAGGAAGGAAGACACTTGCTGTGATGGGTATGTTAATTATTGCTTGCCACTGTGACCAAAGTACCTAGAAGAAACAACTTAGCGGGGAAAGATTTACTTTGGCATATGGTTTTGGTGAGTTCATTTCTATGGTTGCCTGGTAGAGCGTCATGGTGGCAGGAGCACATGGTAGAGTCTGTTTTTCATGTCTTGGCAGACAGGAAGCAAGAGGGTAACAGAAAGGTGTGGGGATCATAGGTCAGGCTGGTCTACATTGTGAATTCCCGGGGAAGCTGGGACTTCAAGGGAGACCCCATCTCAACCCCCAACACCCCCTTCAAAAAGACCTTATTTAGGTATGGGTAGTAGGGTAAGGAAGGCATGAGTTGGCATGAGACAGGAAATGAACAGTGTCCAGTGCCCCCAAGTTTATGTCCCACACTGGCAACTTTCCCCAGAGTCGGCCTTTTCAATAGAGGTGGCTGTGGAGGCAGCCGGGCACTTGGCGGAGATGCAGGGCTCCCCAGCTCTTCTGTCTGCCCTTTGGTGGTTTTGCTTGGCCTTTTACAGACTGGCAGCTCCAGAAAGGAGCTCAGCAAAATTTTCAAATTTTTTACTCCAAATGTTCCCTTAATATTAGTATGTTTGGCACAGGGATTCCTGGCATCCTAATTAATTGTTTTTGATGTTTCTTTAAAAGTACCCTTAACATCTGTGACTCTGCCTGTGGAATTTGTTTTCATTTGCACTTGCTGATCATTTCCTGCACTGCAGAACAGAGCCCCTCTCTGTGGCCAGGTGAAATATACTTGGAGATTCACTTGACAGTTGTCAAATTCAGGGGCCACTTTGGAAGGTGGCAGCCTTAAGAAATGTCAACTGGCAAAGCAAACAAAACACAGCTGGCTGAGCTGCTTGCTTCTCATTCCCCTCCCTGAGGTCTGGCTTAAAAATCCTTTGTTGCTTCACAATACATTTTCAACTGCATTTGAAGTAATTAACACCAGGAATAGAATCCTGTTGTCACATTTAATTATCAGATAGCTGCTTTCCTTTGGGATATCTGACAGTTACCCAAAATGTTGGTCTTAATCTAAAATCAAGGAGAGACCTATGACTTGGTGAAAGCAGCCAGAGTGACATTTATTAAATATAAATGGCTACGTGTCTAAAGAGGAGGTGTACAGAGAGCACTGGGTCTCATCTAAGGGAAAACTCCCCCAGCACAAAGGGAGAGAAGTCGCATCAGGGATCAGCTGGACTTGCTTTGGTCTCACTCGCTCATGAGAATTAGAAGTGTGCATCACACACAGCACTGCGAGGCACCCAGGAGTGGGCATCAGGCACATCACTGTGTGGCACTCAGAAGGTAGTTTCTTGACCTTCGGGTTCGAGCTCCAATCTGCCAAACACTATAAATTCCAGAGCTTCTCTTAGTCTGTTATCTGGAAAGTGACTACTAAGAGGAAAATAATTAAATGGCATTGATTTGAAATGAAGAAAGCTCATTTTTATGCATTCGAAAGACCTTAAGTGAATCAGCTAAATATATGCACTGAGAAAAATATCTTTACCCTCTGGGTAGTATCTTGTAATAAGCTGAGAGTGTGAAAGCCATTAACAGTATTAGAAATTAGGTGCCTAATGAATTGTGCCCATTATTGGAGATTTTTTGTGATAATTCCTTAAAAGCTACAAATTGCCTGTACCTCTGTGTCATAGAGGAAAGACATTGTTAAAGACGTTAAGAATTATCTTTAAGTGGAATCATTTCACGTGATTAAAGAAACACAGGCCAAAATCTGGTACTTACTATGTAAGGACTATGGCCACTGCATCATTCAACACACTCTCCCCAAACAGAAGTGTGTACAGGTCTGGGTCGACGTGCAGTTCATGGAAAATAGCCAGCACTGTCACTAGGAAGACACATACAAAGATGATGAGTTAGCTAGGACACAGCCATAGAATTTGCCTTTGTTGTGGTGACCTCTAAAAATCATCTATTAAATACTGATCTTCTCAGAGCCACCCTCCATACAGACATAAGACCTTCATTCATAAACATCTGACGCTACCTACCATTCCCTGCTCCCCAGTGCTCAGAGAAACTGGAGCTGCTTGTCCTGCCCTCTCTCAGCGCGCTTACCTTCCAGGGCACCTCTCTGGATGCCTTATCCACCCTTTGCCACTTCCCTGAACTCACACTGAACTCTAACTTTCCAAATATACCTCAGTTTCTTAAACATTTTTGCATTTTGATTCTTTCTAACAGGGCAGAAATTTGTCATCTACTGATACTATGATACTATTTCTGCACACACACACATTGAGGAAGGGCACATACACACATATTCTTTTTTTTTTTTTCATTATTTAAGAATTTCCCAGGTGACTCCCTCTGAATCCCTTGACTTCCTCAGCTTTGAGCTGGCTCATTCCTACATTCCTGTATGATCCTAGCATTTGAATAAAATCACAGACTTACAGAACGGTCTGAGCTCTCCAGGGATAGGGCTTATCTTTGCAATCCATGGTATTTGAACAACATCTAATAATTATTTGATGTGTGCGTGGATGCATGAATGAATGAACATTGTTGCAGTGGCTTACTGCTGTGGAGGAAGAGGTGACCACCTCTTCCTTGCTCTTGAGATCACATTCAGTCATGATGTGGCCTTATTGTGGAGCATAATGAGTCCTCAAGTGCAGGACTCACTCCTGTGACCTGCTGCCATTACTATCTGCCACTGCGTGCCCAGTCTTTATGAATACATCATGGCAGTAAACACCACACGCTGATTATCAGTGTTCCTCAAAACTATCTAGTGTCTTGATATTCAAAACTGTTATGCAAAGTGTGAGCAGCAATCATTAGGAAAATGATCCACCGAATTGATTGTCAAGAGGGAAAGAGAGTGGTTCAAAATGATACTGATTATGACAATTTTAAGACAGGACGGGTGTTTTCATTTCTGTTCTCTTCTATTTCATGAAGTGTGAGGCTAGTAGTATGTTGTAAACAGAGCGTCAGTTGGGGAAAAAACACAAGGAAGGCAAGTTGAGTATGAAGGCTCTGCAGGTGACATCAGGAAGTGTGAAGCTTGTCATGCCTGCCACAGTGGGGAACCAAAACTTTAGTAACAGGCATGGCACAGTCTGATTTGAACTTGAATGTAAAGCTCAACCAGCAGGACAGGGACATCATGCACGGGAAAGTGGTTGGAGGCTTCACCAACGGTTCTAGTAAAGCATGGGTTGCGCCAAGAGAAGAAGAGGTGTGATTCAGGCCCAAGCTTCCGCACAGGCTGCTGGCCCTGTTTCTCTACCACCAAAGTGCTGGCAGACCAGTGATCAGTCTTATGCGTAGTCGCTGGTTCTTGTTGTCCCTGTGTGTCACCAGCCCATAGAACTGTGTTGTAGCATAGCGTGCTTTTAGTGAGGTGATGGGCAAGAGAAAAAGTCAGTGAGGACAGAGCAGAGGGGACACGCTCCCTGGATGCTGTGAGGGGAGGGTTTGTGGGTCTTGGTGCTTGAGAAACAGCAAGGAATGAATTACTCTGGATTCAGACCTATTTTAAAACATGGGAATATATTTTAATATATTTTAAACAATGTATTGTATACTTGAAAATTGCTTAGAGAGTTGATTTTAAATGTTCTTACTACAAAAGCATCAATCAGCATGTGAGGTGATCTGGGTGCATCAAACATGCCACATACCATAAATGAGGATGAGGTTTATTTGACAATTAAAAGACTTGCTTTTTCTTTAATAATTACTTTTAAAAGAAGCTATGCAAGAACCTAACAACAAAAAGAATGCAGAGAGAGAGAGAGAGAGAGAGAGAGAGAGAGATCAGGAATTGGAATATCACTGGGCCTGATTCCTTTCTTTTTTAACTCATTTTAAAAATTTATTTATTTTTGTGTTTCATACAGAATGTTCCAAACAATCTTATTCATCTTTATACCCACATCCCAAATGGCATCTTCCCATAGCCCCCCCATTGGAGCCCATATACTGTCATCCCTGTTACTGTCCACTGTGTTATCAGTCTTGCCAGCCGTTCCCCAGTGCAAGTCCATCTGCTGAGTCTAGTCACCCTATCTAGAGATCCTTGTTTTAGGAAGACCAGCTCTTCCTCATCTAGCAGCAATCAGTTGTCAATATTCCTTTATATGACCGGGGTCTGCTATTCATTTTCCCAGTTCTATGCTGGGTTACTCTCTGGGAGTCTCTTGGGTCACCCTGGCCAACAACTCAAAGGAAAGTATCTCCTGTCTAGCATTGTTTCTTGTTATGTAGCCTTTAGCTATACACATGGACTCTTAAAAATTATATTGATCACTTTAATCTTTGGTTATACTTTTCAGTGTTTAAAACCGTAAAGTTGGCCCAAATAAATCAATTTATTTTTATTCTTAAGGTCATTTGAGAATCTGTTCCTCAGGGATCACATGGGCTTGGGACGAGCCCCTGGCTCCTTTCTTTTACCAGTTTCATCTATGCGAAGATAAGTTAAAGGTCCTGCTCGACCATGGCTGGCTTCACTTGGAAGCATGGAGGAAATGTTTCCTCTGTGTTGACCCTCCTCTTTGTAGACTGGACACTGGTTCAAGTCCACCTGGTGGCATCTCCATGGCCTCCTTGATCAAGAGGACACATGACTCACCATAGTTATAGGACATTTTGAGAGATGTTCCATAGTCCCCTGGAACTTAGTCTACCTTGGAGGGCAAGAAGCAAAAACTGCCCTTTAAGTTCCTCTGACAGATTAATATAGGCCTCAAAGTATGGCTATTAAACATCCAAGAAAGTTAGTTCCACCAGTCTGGTACTTTTAATTACCATGTGCTGTGTAGATAAAGCTTGGGCAAAAACCAAATGTTCTACAGATAAACCTTGACTAGACATATATTATGTGCTTGATCTAGTTGTATGTATAATTTGTCAGTAGGTTGTTGGATTAATATGGTTCCCTCTGTTTTTTTTTTTTTTAACTAGCTAGGCATTATTTATCTCTCTCACTGTCTAACCCTGCTACCATGGTTTCCCCATTTAAAGTGCCCCCATTTTTCCCATTTCTCCCTTACTAATACCCTTCTCCTATGGTCCCACCTCTCTTGAGCTCCTTCTTTCCCTTTATCCCCTCGGTTCCTTGTATAACCTTCCCTCTCTCTGCCCCTTAAAATAACCCCACTTTTATTCATATCTCCTTTATTAACACCTGTTTCCTACTGTTCTTCTCTTTCAGGTTCTTTCTTTTCCTTTACCTCCCTGGTTGTATCATTTTGCTACTGAATTAGTGGTGAAGATGTTATCCTGGTTCCTATAGTTATGTCTGGATACATACTCATTTATAAGGATTTGGTGCTAGGATCCACATATGAGGGAGAACGTACATTGTTTGTTTTTCTGAGTCTGTGTTACTTCACTTATAGAATCACTTTCCTTATTCAAGATGAGGAGATCTTATTATTAATCACAATTAATCACACTGGGAAATGGCAGAGACTGTACTCTCGGCTCTCGGTAGCTGTGAACATTTGCCACAGCTCTCTTCCTCTGCAGGTGGAGACGGGAGGGGCAGCCAGCACCTCGGTTAAGTGATCTCTTTTTCTTTCTTTAAAAAAAATATGTTTTTAAATTTTCCTTTTATGTGTATTAGTGTATTGCCTGTATTTATGTAAGCGTACCCATGTTGTGCAATGCCCATATAGGTCAGAAGAGGGCGTCGGATCCCTGGAACTGGAGTTATGGACTGGAGTTAGTTGCCATGTTGGTTCTGGGAACCAAACCCAGGTCCTCTGGAAGAGGACCTCTTAATCGCTGAGCCATCTTTCCGAGTGATCTCTTTTTCTTTCTTGGGTAGAGTCAAGAGCCCTACATCCAACTAATACAAAGAGGTTTCAGTTGGGATTTTCATTAACAACATTTTTCTTTCACCAGTATCTTGTGGGACAAAATATGTTATCATTTAACGGAAAATTTTATCACTACCATTGACTTTCATCTTTGAATATACTTGTATTTCTGAGCTCTGAGGATGACTTGTGGTCATCTCCACTTTGGGGAGGTTTCCTAGGCTCATGTGAAGGGCTATATGTCTTGAGTTCTTATTCCTGTGTCCTTAGTGATTGATGTCAACTCTGTTCTAGTGGGGCGGATTCTGCATCTTTTCAAAGAGAACTCTAGGCTTTTTGAGGAAAGTCTTTTTTAACAATATATGCACTTGTGTTCCAAGATGATCTGACATTCCCACAATTCTTCTTGAACAAAGAACTGAGCCCTGCTTCATAAATGCTATCCCACACAAAAGAGAAAGCTATTACTTTGTGCATTCCTATCTACCCTGTGAAGAAATGGAGCAGTTTTAGAATAAAGCCAGCCAGTGTGTCCTGCAAGAGGGAGTATTCTGTCAGGACCACAAATGAGTTGAATAGGTGAGTCAGGAAATTTGCCACCCACTCTGCTACCAAGCTTGAAACTTTTAAAAGAACTCATTTATTTGGTTTGTGGACAGGGCTCAATCTTGTACACAATGTCCTAGACTCTCCGGAGAGAATCTCTGCTCAGATCTTGCTGGGTTGTAAGGTACCTACTTAAGATGAACGACCTTGTGACAGCAGAACAGAATAGACACAACATGTGCACACATTTGGAAAGAAGAGAGGACACAATTGGGTTTCTTGAACTTCTGGTTTTATGAAAGGATTGGTCATTTTGCCTGCACCACATTGTTCTCCAACTTCCTTTCCATGGGGTGTTTCACTCATGGCTTAGAATTCCTTCTCCTACACTAAGACTTGGTTTTTCAGCTACAGAAAAATCAGCTTTGTTTGTCAGAATGGTAGTAAGGGCTACGAGTGTGTGTGATCTGTACCCAAACAGATGAGCATATACACATACCAGTAT